GTTTCCCCCAGCTTAGAGGGCAGAGCCTACGCTGAGCTCTGCAGGGTCAGGGAGAGGCATGACTGTGATTTCTCCAAGGAGGAGCATCCACAGGAGGACACCAAAACAGTACCGTTAGGTATGTCGGGAATAATAGCCATTCGAGTTGCTATTTTAAAACAGGTTGGTTAAGTGGGCTAGAGACAGTGGTGCAGTTAAGTCACCCAAGTTAGAGGAATGGGAGTAACAGTGGGAACGGGGCAACAGCAGGGGTCCGGCTACCAGCAGTATTGAGTGCTCACTGTAGTCGCGTCCTCCAGGCTTTTTATGGGTACAGCGTGGAGCAGAAACCCACCCTGCCTCTCTGGACTGCGTCACCCATGGGGACCCTTCCTTAGGTGAGAGCCAGACGTTAGTTAGCGGCCAGCTGCACTGAGATCTTTTTTAACTTTATTTTTCAATCCAGGGTTTTTATTGATTTGTTTATTCTTGTGCAAGGCCCTGAGTGGGAGAAAGGACGGCCACGCCTCGGTCCTTGAGTCAGATGGGAACTGACAGGTCAGGACACAGGCAGGAGGAGAGGCTGGGCCTTGGGCCCTGGAGCCTCACAGGCTGGCCTAGAAATTAAGAGACCCGAAGGGAGGTTCATGAGAGCACAAGGAGAGAAAACCCATTCACTGGGAAAGGTAATACGCAGCAGGACAGCGTTAAATCAGTTGAAGGATTAGCATCAGCCTAGGGCTCCGAGGAGCAGCCTCAGAGATGCTGACGGGGAGCGCGAGAGCGGGGTGACATAGCCGACTGCGGGCGTGATGGGGCAGGGTAAGGAGGTCAGGTCAGAATGGGGACGGTGCCGTAAAGTGCATCGTTCAGAACAGGTGGAGGAGACACAGGCGCCGGGGACGAAAGATGACTCTGGGTGGTGTTGAGAAAGAGAAGGATGTTTGTTCGTTTACAAGGAGGTCTAGGGAGAGGATCCACTGAGAGTGTGGCGGGGGGTGTGCAGAAGCCAAGATGTGTTCTGGGGGGTTGTCTCCATGGCCCCACTCCGTGCTTGGAAAGACGGGTGCTCCTGAAGCAAGAGACTGTCACTAACCCACCAGAAGGTGGTCCTGTCACTTCAGAAGCTCAAAGAATGTGGAGCTGATGGAGAAGAGGTATTAATAGAGGATTTTCAGATTTACCCTGAGCAGCCCAGGTGAGAGCTGACGGCCCAGACAGGTTTAAATCCCCAGAAAAGGCCCTCCCCTATGGCTGTTGACAGGTAAGCACCTGCAGGTGGGCCCAAGGGGAGAGAGTTGATATAAAAGGGAGGGAGAAAGGAAAGAAAAGGAAAGGAAGGAGAGACTGGGGGCTGACTCGGGTCCACAGGAAGCAGCACCAGCCTGAGCTTTAAGGGGAGAAATCTGCTCACTCTGAGAGAAAATACACTCTGCCCATACAAAGAGGACGCGTGGTCTCGGGCTTCATATTAGTTTGAAAGGTGAAATTTGAAACAGTGGTAGGTAAATGAATTGAAGTGGGAATATGGAAGAAATAGTGATGCAGGAAGGTAAGCATGGAATTTATATTTTAAGTATAATTTCACAGTTGATATTACATTTGTCTTCTCCGTGAACCTGATTCTGCAGAATAAGGGTGCATGTGTATGCGTGCATAGTGCACGTGTGCCTGTGTGCGTGGTGTGGGTGTGCACGGTGCGTGTGCTCTAGCCGTGGAGGCTGTAGAGTTCCCAGGAGGAAGCAGGGGCAGCCGCGTCCCCCTGGCTCTCTGCACTTCCTGAGCCCCCTGCAGTCTCCTCCGCCTGGTCCTTTCTCAGGGGGAGTGGCAGGTGTCCAGCCCTGGCTGCATCCTGCCCACTCCCGGGGTACCAGTGCCTTATCCTCTAAAGACAGGCCCTTATCCAGGACTCAGGAAACATGGGCAGATCCAAGTTCAGTAGGTCCTCTGAGCTAGCAGGCCACTCGGAAGGAAAGGGTGGGCCCGACCCAAGGAGAGTGAGGGTTGAGCTCTCCTGGGAGCAGTGGGTGGCCAGGGCTTGGAGCCTGGCCCTGTACCACATGGCTTGCCTCTCACAGCTGTCCACGCAGGCCCAGGCACCCACCAGTCCTTTCCAAACACATCACTACACGCCAGTTACATGCTTACAGTTTAGCCTCAGCATTTGCGCCTACGTTCGATGACAGCTTTACAACGACTTGCATCATCTTACTTATCTAGGGCTGGTTTAGAAGTCTGGAGGCCAAAGGGAGAAAACCCTTGGGATACGGTAGCACCGGTAGGAGAGCCGGGGCCCTACCAGGTATTTGTCCACGGTGCTGGTTCTGCCTCCTGGTCCCGCAGCCACTGGTGGCCTCCGGCTCCCTCCGCCTCAGTTCCTGTCGTGTTACTGGCCTACCACAACAGTGTCTCTAAGACTGTCTTGTGCCATCAGGCCCCTCAGGAACTGGCACTCACCCCTAAATCCTATTCCAGCAGATCATAGAATGTTTTTGCTCCAAAGCTCTCAATCGCCCTGCTGCCGACTTTCCCCTCTCCTCACGGTTTGCCACTCAGATCTTCTCAGACATCACTTGGCTCTTTCCACCCAAGGTCTTCACCCATATTATTCCCCTTGCCTGGAACACTTCTAACCCTAAAATGTCCTCGCCTTCCCTCCAGGGCCTGCCTATTAAGTTTCTTTTAATTTTATTGAAGTATAGTTGATTTACAATGTGTGTTTATTCTGTTCAGCAAAATGACTCAGTCATACATATATATATTCTTTTTCATATTCTTTTGCATTATGGTTTGTCACAGGATATTAAATACAGTTCCCTGTGCTATACAGTAGGACCTTGTTGTTATCCATCCTATACGTAATAGTTTGTATCTGCTCATCCCAGACTCCCAGTGCTTCCCTCTGCCATACACCCCCCTCACCTTGGCAACTACAAGTCTGTTCTCTATGTCTGTGAGCCTGTTTTTGTTTCATAGATATGTTGATTTGTATTGTATTTTAGATTCCACATATAAGTGATATCATATGGTAATTATCTTTCTGACTTACTTCCCTTAGTATGATAATCTCTAGATCTATCCATGTGGCTGCAAGTCTGCCTATTAACTTTTCTTTTTTCTTGTTGGCTGCACCGCATGGCTTGCAGGATCTTAGTTCCCCGAGCAGGGATCGAACCCACATCCTTGGCAGTGAAAGCGCAGAGTCCTAACCACTGGACCGCCAGGGAATTCCTGCCTATTAACTTTTAAAAGGACTCTGTTGAGGGCTTAGAGTCTTCTAAGCGCTATGAGCAATGGCCTTCAAACATTTTGTTTGCATATCCCCTAAAAGAGCTCTGGGAAAAAAATGTAATTTTTTGAACATTTTAAGGTTGAGAAGTAAAAATTTCTTCATAAGTTTAAATACAATTATTTTTGTTAATATGAGATAGAAAAAAATAAACATTTTAAAAGACGGAAGACAAGGATTATTAGGAATACATATTTGATGACATGATTTGGTAAAATAGATTTTAACCAACTCGTTGAATAAGGCACACCAAATCTGAAAGTAATTGTGGAGTTATTCATGGGATTTAGCCAGTGTATTTTGAAAATGTTTTTATAATTCTGGGAAAATTGCAGTTACGTTTAAAAGAATTACATGAGTCACATATACAGTTCGGTTCTGAATTCAGAACATCTCACTCAGGCCAAATTTCACTCTCATGGGGACCCGGAAGGCATCAGGGCCCATGACTCATGGGAGGGTGCTCCCCATCCAGGGCTTGGCATCCGTGGGAGGGAGGTCGGTGTGCCCCAGTGCGTACTGTAGCACGGGCAGGCGAGGGCTGTGCTTTCCTTCTGTGAGGTGGGGAAGGATGTTGTGAATTCAGTCATGTTCTGAGGCAGTTTTAGAAAATACTGAATTTGAGGATCTGGAAATTGATTCCCTTAAAACTGCCAGCATGCTCCCTGGAAAGTCGATCTGTGTGCTTCAGACTGAAGACGCCCCCAGGAGAGGATGTGATTCTCCTGTGCAAAGAGCTCAGGACAGGCACCACAGAGCAGGGACCCCTGGAGGACTTGGCTGTTAGTGGAGAGAGGAATTTCTGTGGGGGGGAGGGCATCCCTAAAGACCCTCCTCTGGCGTGGGCTTCCTCTGGCTGCCCCTGTGCCCCCGGCTCACAGACCAGCAGTTACCTCCTGCTCCGGGCGTGGCAGGCTCACCCCCAACCCCCAGCCGTGCTGTGTGTTCTCAAGGTCAGGGCCGAGGCTCACCCTTGTTTGCCGAGCTCTGAGTGGTGCCCTGTCTGCTCAGTGGTGCTTCCTGAGTGAGTCACGGTGGAACGCAGGCTTTTCGTGGCTCCTGCGGGGGGGCCATTCCTCCACATGAGGGTGTTTGTTCCCGGCTGGCCCAGGTCACCTCAGGTTGAAGTTCCCTCCCCAGCACTGCTGCCCAGAGGATGATTACGCACCAAGAACTTGTTCCCCTCCGGAGGGCACAGGAGGGGGTGAGCAACTGCTCTTTGGACCCTTGGAGATAAGCCTGGGTCCTCCCCTGGGGTAATGATGCCCTGTAGGCTTTTTTAGAAAGTAACTTTATTGTAGTAGAATTCACATGTCGTGCAACTCACCCATTTAAAGCATAGTGCTTTTTAGTATATTGACAGAATCATGCAGCCATTGCCACCATCAACCCCGCTGACTTTTAACCCAACTGCCAGATGTAAGAATTAATTAATTAAAAAAGAAAGAAAAGCTCATGAGACAAAAGTAACCCAAAATGGAGAAATCCAGTGGGAACATTTTATAGGAATCCGTGCTGTGCTGCGTGCAACTCTTAGGCTCATCGGTCCCCTATCCTGATTGAAAAGCGCTTACCACCCTCTAGTTGCTGCCTGTCGGTGCCAGTGGCGGGGGGCGGGGGGGGGAGCGGAAGGGCCTGCCGTCACTCCCATGGGGACAGTGTCCCGACTCATGGCAGCTCTGGGCTCCGACACTGACCCATCACTCACCAGGTCTCTCCTTTCTCTCAACAGGTGTTCCACTGCGTCCACTTTGAGTGTCCCGAGCAGCAGAGCAACCATCAGGAGGAAAACAGCGAGCAATCGGGGACAGGGGACACTAGCCCAGCCAGTCAGCAGCCCGACTCCCACGCCCTGCAGGCCCCCAGCGGCAACTCACTGCACTCCAGCCCAGGCTCCAACTCATACTCAGCCAACCGGCAGCACCAATAAAGGAGGCGCACGTGTGGAGTGACTCGGCTGGGCCCAGGTGGCACAGGAGCCGTGTCCTCCCCAAGCAGGGATGCCTGTGGACGCCTCCCCCTGCCACCCCCGCCCCACGAGGAACAGACCTGGCTGCAGAAACGCACAGGACAGGTTTCCTCCCAAGGACACAAAGGGGCTGCTTTGTTCTCCTCAGTTTGTTCAAATCAGGCTGGTCTCCAGGGGGAGAAAGTGGGTCTTCAATCTTCATCAAGTCCATTAACACCCTACCTCTCTAATCTAACCCTGCAAAGACCACAGAAGGAAGTAATAGGCCTGAGTCGGAATACAAAGATGGCACATGAACACAGGAATGGAAGAGAATGTATTAGGCCTTCCTTAACCTGGAGGCACCCTGTAGGAAATGGGTTTCCTTAGAGTGTTTACTTTTATGGAACACATTGCCCTGGCAACTAAATAATTTTTTATTTCTTTTAGTTATTCTCCATTTGCTGAATCATAGGTTTTCCAGATCTTTATGAAAGGTTCAAACAGCAAATCACTTGTTTTAATCCCTTTTGACGCTGTAATTTTCCTTCCTTAGTTTTGAACGGTTGAGCGTGGGGTAGAGCTGAGAAATATCATGCGCATCTCCTAAATGAGGCACAGATGCAGCTCCTTATGGCACCTGGTCTGACGAGGAAAATCCTTTGAGGAAGATCAACAAAATACACAAGGAGCAAATTAATCTGTGGACACTGGAGTTAATAATCACTTGAATTGCCAAGTTATTAACCTGTCATTCCTGAAACGTATCCAGCCTTTAAGCTTGGGAGGCTTACAAGGAAACAGTGATTATGTCACCAGCTAATATAATGTTCAGAAGTATGTATGAGTGTATACCAACTTCCGGTTGGGCTGGACCTGTCCTCCATTTGCCACAGGTTAGTGAGCGGTGTGGAGGCAGCCGTCCTGCCAGTCGGTGTCGGGAATGCAAAAGTGGGCCTTTTCCCGCGTGGCGGTGATCGGTGGTTGCTGTTTTTCCCCCAGACCATAACACTCAGCCAGGGATTGAAAAAAAAACATCAGTTCTAAGAAGCTTTCCTTTTAGTCCTCATTGAAACGATCTCATCTGACAGTTGTCGCTTGATCTGGCTCTGTGTGTCTGAGTAATTTCCATCCCAGTGCTAACTGCCCTGTGTAACTTGATCAGATTGTGTCCGGTTTTTGCTCATCCCCTGATTCTTCCGTTGGCTGGCTGTCTCGATCAGGTCCTCTGTGCATCCTGCTTGGAGGAGGGGTGGGGCCGACGGGGGGTCCTTTCTGTCTTAAAGACACATGGTCATGGGTGTACAAAGAGCCAGTGGGTCAGCTGTTTCCTCCTACTGTGATGTAGTTGTGATTTATCAGTATTGGAATAGTAGGGTAGCTTCAAGCTGCATGATTAAATGGGAAGGTTGTCTTTCTGCTAGTCTCCCTCGGTGCCCTCGACTCTGATCTCTGTCTGCGTCCCCCTGCGTGGGGTGAGTGGAACCCTCTGAGGGGAACAGCTTTTCACAATGAGAGGGGCTCTGGTAACAAATAGCGGTGCCGCTCGCTTGCTTGCCACGGGTGGCTGGCCGCGCTCTGTGGCTGGCGCTGCCTCCCTCAGCATCCAGCCCCTTCTCCAGTTAGAGCTGAGGATTCCTGACAACTCAGCACTTCCTCCAGCGGTGCATTCACTGCCCACAGGGGAGGCAGGAGGAGCAGGGAAGTCAGAAGAGGGCAGGGTTCAAATGTTTTGCAAGTATCATCTATTCAAGGGCTTCTTCTCAAACTCTGAAGTCACCTGTCCAGAGAGGAATCACTGCTGACCCACGGAAGTGCGGGGTGGGCTGGGGGAGGGTCTGGAGCCCTTCAGTACTTTTCTCCATCCAGGCACAGGTAACTAACTGCGTCCTGGACACTCAGCTTCACACCTGAAGAGGCATGAACTGTGCCCTGCATGGCCAGTGGCTCACCCTCTGCTTCCTGTCCTCTGTGAATTCTCTTTGGTGTTCGTTCCTTCCAGATCTCTGCCCTGAGGTCTGTCTGGAGAGAATAAAGCTTGTCTCTCTCCTGTTCCTCCAGCACTTCAGACACACCTTGTTCTCAGATAAAGGGAAGGAAGGGGACTGAGAGGCAGTGCTGAGGACGGGCAGGACTGAGGCCAGCTCTGTGCAGCGGTATCGCCGTCCCCTAGCCCCGCAGCTGCCTCCCCTGAGGCCCCCTGATGGTCTAGAGGCCTTGCTTGGATGCAAGCCTGCTCTGGACCCCAGCAGACACTGATGAAGCTCAGCAAAGCCTGCTCTGGTCGGCCTCCTGTTACCAGGCAGGGGCTCTGCCTTCCTTGATGAGCCTTGTGGTTTGGGGAATGGGGGCTCTTTCTGTATGCCTGGCTGGAGGGGCCTGGACACCCCAGTCGAGGTGCGACACACCAGACGCGTTGCCAGGGAACGAGGGATGAGTGCGCAGCCAAGAAAAAGTCCCCAGGTGCCTGGCATTCTCCAGAGCCCTGGCTGGTCCCGCAGGGGACTTAACCCCCCATGAGCCAGCAGGACCAAGATGGCCCCCAAACTTGGGGAGAGACCAATAGAGCTAAACGGGAGTGCTGATGAGACCCAGCTCCAAGGAGCCCGATGCCCGCGGAGCCCGATGCCCAGCACAGGGTGGAGGCTGACTCCCTGGGAGCTGTGGGACACCAGGCAGCAGGCTTGGCCAAGCTGTGAGGGGGGCAGTGGCAGATGAGGGCCCGTGGCTGCCCCCCAACCCCGTGAGGATGCAGTCCCACGGCGTCTGCTCTGAGGAGGTCTGGTGAGGTGGACAGAGGGGTGCTTGTGGCCTCTGGCCCTTTATTGTGAAACACCACCTTTGTAACCACTACCCAGGTCTAGAGATTGAACATGCAGAACCTCCTGCCCTTCATTTTAGGTCATGCTTTGTGGGGGAGTAAAATGCACTTTGTTGGGGCTTTTGGCGAAAGCCTTCAGCGTCACCTTCTGGTACCTCCTTGGAGGGCTGGTGCGGAGCACGGTGGGCAGGGCGGGGTGTGTGCCTCGTGGCGCCCCAGTCAAGGCGGGCTTAAAGGCACTCTGAACGAGAAACAGGTGTAACAGTATCACACACGCAAACACGTTTTCCCATATTCTCAGTGCTTTTTCCGTTTTTCTTCTGATTCTAGTTAGAACCATGAGCCCATGATGGATGCGGGACTCTTCTCAATTGCTCTTTGTCACTTCTTTAATCTTAGTAAATGAAGTGTTGATTCCTGACAAATACATTAAAAGTGTTTTATTCCTAGAAGAGTTGGGAAAAGAAAATTATTTTTAGCAAGAGTGGGATGTGTTTGGTAGACTAATTCCTTGGCCAAGAAAAAAGTAGCTTTTGAATTGTGCAAAAATTGCTCAGTAGTTATGCTGTCGCCCCAATTGTCAAACCGCTGTGCAGACAGTGCCGACCCAGTCAACTTCACCTTTTTTTAACTCAGAAGATAACAAAATTGTAATCACTTATCCTTTGTAGAGCCACGGGGAAAAAAGGAAGGTCTAATCTGTGATAAAAAGCAGAGCATCCTGTGTGCTGAGGCCATTTGATAATAAAGAAAGGGAGCGTTCCCCATTGTGGGCTTCAATTAAGAACCTCCCTTTGGATAGAGAAGAAGGGTGTCAAAGAAGGAAAAGAAAATTAAATGTGTCTCCTTCTAGGAGTTTTTCCTCATTAGTGAGTTTTGGTTTTGTTTTGTTTTCTGGTGCTACCGTGTCACTCCTGCATTCCACATGGGCGGCCAGCTCCTCTGGGTGCAGCTGAGGTGCTCAGGGTGGCGGCCGGACAGGCGGCAGCTGTGGCTGCAGTGGTGCAGGCCACGCTCCACTTCCTTTCGTGGCTGCAGCCATCCATTCTGAATGTTTGTCCTAATAACAGCTCCAGCAGGAGTTCAGTGCTCATTAGTGGCCCTAGGAATTTAAAATGCAGTTCGTGGTTCTGTGCCACCATGGTTTTCATTATTCTAATATTAAATGAGAAGTCGTCCTGGGGCCTGGTGTTTGCGCAGGAGTTTTTGGAGGAGGGGGAGGGATGTGCAGGGCAACAGGGATGCGCCCGTTTCTCCTCCTAGAAGCTGACCTGGTCATACCTGGTTACTGGACAGGATCCTGAGGCCCTGGTGTTTTGCAGAAAATGAGTGGAAACGGTGGTGGGAGGGTTTGGTTGGAAAGTAAACCAGATTCCGATACACCCCAGCCCCCGCCCGTGTTGAGGTGTGGGGAGAGGACCTGGGGGTTCTGCTGGTTTCCATCAGACTGGCCGCAGGAGCCGTCGCACCTCAGCAGGCGCGGGGAGCTGCATGTCCCCCACCAAACACCCCACGTGCCTTCAGGCAGGACTTTCTGCTGGACTGACACAGGCCAGGACCTGCCTCCACTGCAGAGGTGAGGACAGGCATACACTTTTGAAAATCACTGTTCTACTTTTAAAAGATTACTAAAGTAATAATGCTCATGGAATAACCTAGCAGAGGGGTGAGGGTGCCCTCCCTTTCATCTGGCTGAGTCAGTCTTGACCTGGGCCTGGTCCTTTGCTTCCTCTGTGACTGACTATCCAGATGGGCAGCAGAGCCCCTGGCCCCCGGCCGTCCTTCCCTACACCTGTCCTCTCCCAGCCAGAAGGCAGACTCTGAAAGGGGCCCGTCAAGCCCACCAAGTTAGCTTCTGCTTTCCCCCGCCCCCTAAACAACTCAAATATTCCCCTAGAGGCCTCAGGGCCTAAAGACCCACAATCATCCACCTGTAATTCATGATAAATGTCTCGTGCATTTACCCCATGCATCCTGAGTATTTAAAGCCCTGAGCCCGGAGCAGGAGGCGCTGCTGCCTACAGCTGCCTCCACCATTGTCTCCTCTTGGCTGTCCCTGCGGCTGGGACAGCTGGAGGCCACCACCTTTGAGAGCCAGCGGCAGGAGGAGCTGAGAGGCCTGTAAGGCGGGATCTGGGGCCCAGGGCTTGGGTTCCCATGGATGCCCTGGGAACACTGGTGACACTGTTACAGCCTGTCCATCTGCTGCCAGATAGCGTCCTCCGAGGGCTTGTGGCTCAGGACAGGGAGGGTACTTGAGCAGCAGTGGGGCACAGAGGACCAGGCTGTCCAAGGTCACCATGCCCCTCGGCCTCTGCTTTCCACCCTGTGTGTAGGGGGCACTGTCCTCCCCGATGGCTGCTTCTAGCGCCACGTTCCTGGTTTACTCCCAGCTGCTACGGGGGTTTTCCCCCTCCCAGACCTGCCCCAGGCAGTGGGTCCCCATCAGTGGCCCTGGGTGCTGACAGTGAGATCCAGAAGCCTGTGCGCAGGGAGCACAGAGCTGCTGACCAGCCCAGGCCAGCTCAGAGCTCCCCAGGCCTTGGGGCCCAGCTTCTCCTGGCCTCCTTCTGCAGAGGGCAGCTCCAGTTCTCAGAGCTCCCTTCCAGAAGGGACCTGAGAGGCAGCACCAGCTCTGAGGAACAGCCAGGACGCTCTCGTCAGGCTCTCCCAGCACTGAGGTTCCAAGGCCGCTCCACCCGTACCCTCACATCTAGAAAAGCCAGAGGAGGGTGAGGACCGGACTCAGCCTCGGGACTGCGGTGTGGAGAGGGAGGGGTGGCAGGAGCACCTCAGCGTGGCCGTGGGGGCTTGGCCCATGAGCTACTCTTGCCAGACGTGTATAACCTGAATTCACCCAAGAACGCAGACGTCCTCTATCTTTGGTTTCTGGGTCTGTAAAGGTTGGTGAGGACCTCTTTGATGTGGGAGGGTAGGGGCCATGCTGGGCTGGGGATGGGGAACAGCTCTTCTGAGCCATCTGTAAAGGAGGACTGTGTCCAGAAGCCCAAAGGGCACTGTTGCTGTTTGGAATACGTGTTCATTTGTGGGCAGGATGCAGCTTCATTTTGCATGGCAGCCTAGGTGAGCAAACATACAAATTGTGTGTTCACAACAACCGAGTTGACAGCTGTGAGACTGCGATGTGGCTTCCCTTCAGAAATCATGCAAAGACTCCTGTGCGTCGTGGTCCCTCCCCCACGGCTCCATGCTTTCTCTGCCTCTGGGCAGGAGGCAGACAGACAGCACCCAAACAAGCCCGTCTCCTGTGATCTCAGCTAGCCCTCTGTGGGGCCTGAGTATCACGCCCAGTACACGTGTGGATGGTGAGGTGTGGCTGACTTGCTCTAGGACGGTTAAGAAAGAGGAATGTGGGCCCACGCTGTGACCACAGCTCTACAGCACCTTCTTCTCAGAACGCCTTTCCAGGCCCTGGGTACTGCAGACCCCAGGCACAACCTCTCCATCCTGAGATAGCCTAGTCTATCTTTCTTAAGGCATGTTAGGTGATCCTCTACACAGCATTTACATCATTCTGATCGTCCCCTCCGGGAATCTTTCTCCTCCAGGCCTGTCCTTCGTTAAGTCGGGTCTTGGATATGCCAGGACCCAGGAACACCCAACCCTCGCACAGCTGGGGGTCCTCTGGGCTGGTGCTCATTCTTCCCATCTCCCCCAGGTACGTAACCTCCCTGCTGCCAGAGAAGGCTGGGCCCAGCAGACACACCTCTACCCCAGGGTCTCCCGAGGTGGAACCACACAAGAGAAACCAGAGGAGCAACTGTGGAGCCTGGACACTTACCAGACAAGTGAGCCCCAGACAGTGCACACAAGAGCCCTCCATCTCTTCCAACCTCTGGCTGGGGAGACCTTTTATTGTTTTCCTGGTCATCCAGGTGGCACTTAGGAGAACCGGCAAAACAGAGAAATCCAAACTTTCATACGATTGGTTTAATTTTTTTTTTTTCAGCAGGAGAAAAAAGAATAAAGTTACAAGATTCTTTTAATATTTTCACAATGTTAAAACTAAAACTGAGCTCTAGGCTATGTGTGTAAGTAAATCTAGAACACAAAAGGGTTAAATAAGATTTTCTCTTTTAAAGATACAAGAATTTAAGCTTTCCTTACATTTAACAAACTTCACAGAACAGATACTGCCGGGGAACAAGCCCTCCCACCCCACCCCCAGCTCTGCCATCAGGAAGTGACCATGGGCTGCGAGCCCCGTGTGCGGCCGGGCTCCCCAGAGAGCCTGCTTCCCATCGCTGCCGCCGGGAAGCAGCAGCCGGTGGGGCCTGAGGAGGGCCGGAAGGGCGCCTGTGGCCTCTTCACGATCAGAGCTTGGTGGGGGGCCGAGGTGGGCCGCATCACTGAGGATGGCCAGGTACTGGCCAGAGGGCCGTGGCTTGGTAACAGTGGTAAACGTGGGCAGACCTGGCCCCTCTGCCCTGGGCTGCCCTAGAGCAAGACGCCGGTCTGGGTCCTGAAGCAAGAATTAAGGCTGGAGATTTTGCAGCGGATTCCACTCTGGTGGGGGTGGGGTGGGAGAGGAGTCGGGGAAGAGCGTGATTTCCTATTTCAGTATTTCGGACCAAAAACATTTGTAGTTGCAGGTATTAACTGTTAATTTGCAGACAGAGTTGAGCAAACACTTGCTGTGGTATAAAAGGGTAAGTTGCTGGGTTAAACTATTCCAGTAGCCTGTGTGCGGGCAGATCCAAACTGCCTCTGCAGGAGCCTCCGACCCTCACCGGCCTGGATCAGATGGGGCTCTGGGGCCATTCACCCCTGCTCAGGCTTTCAAGGGCATCTTTCTCCTGTCTACCCACCCCCCACACCTGATCGGTGATGACTTCCTAACACTGGCAAACAGGCCCATCTCCACCCACCCCCACTGGGCCTGAGCTCCTGCCTCCACTCAACTCCTCTCTGAAGAGAAACACGCTGAGAAATAGGCCCTCCCCGCACCTGCCTGAGCGAGTGTCTCTCTCAAGCTGGGCCATGGCCACGAACCTCTGTCCCTGTGACATATGCTGTCCCCCCCCCTTACTAAACTTGCTATGTGGTAGAAGTGGATTGGTTGCCCTTGGACTGTGGGGCTGCACAGACATGAGAGGCGAGGCCAAGGCATCGTCCCTTGGCCTTGGAGGGGCTGAGTAGGCTCCTGCTGGAAGGGACGGAGCTGCAGGCAGCTCCCAGCTCTTCTATTGATTCCTGCTGGCTATGAAACATCTTTTTAAAAAACTTCCAATCTAGAAATCTAGCTGCAGAGGCCAGTTTGGAGGCCACAGCTGCGGTGCTGCAATTAGCCTTATTTGATCCACTGCCAGATCCCTGCACTCGGCAAACGGCGAACCAGGGCCCGTGGGGTCAGGGCGCGCCCGCGGGCGCTTCTCGTGACCAAGGGTCCTGTGTAGAAAAGGTGGTTCTCATTCGCGGACTAGGCTTGAGTGGAGCTGATTTTCAAAGTGAGGTTACTGTTTCTCTTCTCGTGTGATGAGAGAGTTTTTTCATAGCAAGTCAGGTAAATTTTCTTAACCTGTCCCCACCCCCATTTCCTGCTCAGTGGGAGAGCGAGGCCACCACCCAGCCCAGCCACGGGGCCAATCTCAGCAGCCTCCCGTGGCCCGGGCATGCGTGGCCATCAGGTATCCTGGCTATTGGGACTAAGGATAGTGAAGAGGTGAAGGCCGAACACTAACCAGAGCTTCCGGCAAAGCCATGTGCGTCGTGGGGACTTGAACACCAGCTTCTCCTCCTCTATTGACTCAGAGTCTCCGTCTGGAACACTTTCCACTTAAGGCTTTTTGTAAGTTTGACTCCAGCAGTGACAGGTATGTGTTGTTTTAAATCCACTAGCCATGCTCAAAAAAAAATATTCTTCATGTTTTAATTTTATACAATGGCTAGCAGGCACCTTAGTAACCAGCCAGAAATCAATTTCAACCACCATCAACCCCTAAACTACAGTACCAGGATGGCTGGCTAAGGAAAGGAAACGGACTGGCTGTAGTCTGACGCGTGCCCAGTACAAGGTGTCTGGCTGACTTTGTCCTAAATAAGGCTAACATTAGTGAACTAAGAACAGCGTCACGTAGCGGCCAAGCCGGCCTTCAGGAGCACCCTTCCCCAATGCGCTGGCAAGAGCGCCCCACTTTCCGGTCCAGTTTCACCATTTTCATG